AAACCCCGGCCGCACTTATTTTACACACCTTCCTGAGGAATATCTATATCTGATCTTCGAAAAATTAGCAACAAATCTTGATCGAGACTCTTTTGGCCTAACTTGTCATCGTTTTCTTGATGTTCAAAATTCAAGYCGTAAATGCTTGGATCTTCGACGATTAGCCCAGTCATATAACTCCTTTGACAGCATTAATTCAATTATGCTTGATAGGTTGCTTMACCGTTTYAGGCAATTACAGTCATTGTCCTTGAGGGGCTGTTACAATGTCTCAGATTCAGGATTAACTCGATTGGCAAATTATGGCTCTAAATTGCACTCTCTTAATCTTAATGATTGTTTTCACCTCACGGACACAGGACTTTCTTCAGTTGCTTCGGGTTGTCCGTCTTTGTCCATCATCGGTCTGTCTTGTTGTAATATTACAGATGGTGGATTGGAAATCTTAACATCATCTTGTCGGTCTYTAACAGAAGTGAATCTTTCAAAGTGCTACAAAATAACCGACCRTGGAATTTGGGCTCTCTCGCAGAACTGTAGGAAACTTAGAGCTGTCAAAGTATCTTGGTGCTATAGAATTGTCGGGGTAAGCTTCCAAGGCTGTTCTCCAACCTTGACTTGTTTAGAAGCCGATTATTGTGMGTTTGATCCCATGGGCGTCACTGGAATTCTAAGTGGCGGTGGTCTCGAGTACCTAAGTCTTTCGTGTCTTCGCAAGTGCCCGAGGGGACATGGACTGGCCGCCATCGGTTTAGGCATTGCCGCAAATCTCAAAGTCCTTAACTTTCGGAAGTGCAGCTTTGTCACAGATGATGTTATYATAARRATCTCGAAAGGGTGTCCATTGCTGCAAGAATGGATCCTATCATACTGTACSAAGATAGGAATTTCTGGTTGGGAGGCGATTGGATTGCATTGTCGCAATTTGGAGAAACTTGATGTGAGCGGATGTGAGAACCTTTGTGATGCCGGATTACTAGCTTTGGGAAACGGCTGCGAACGCCTTTCGTTGATATACATAGGCCATTGCTGGACACCCACTCCAGAGGGGATCGAGGCTTTTAAGGATGCGAAAGAAGCTGTGGAGATCAAAGAGGAARCAGCAATGCATGTTGCCCCCATTTGGGCCTTCAGAACATGACTCCAAGAGGAAAGAAAAGCCTGATCGAAGGTATATGAAGACCTATCTGGTATGTACTCTATGTCCCTTTGAAAACCTGTGTTGTTGTGCTTTGGTTCTTGTTTTTAAGTAGACTTGTGTTGTGCTTTAAAATTCTTGTTTTTATGTAGACTTGTGTTGTGCTTTCTTGATTTCAAGTTGGGTGTAAGTTGACTTGTGAAATGTGACGTGGCTTGTATTGCAAGCAAATTGAACTTCCATTTGCATACCTTCTGTTAGTTTTTTTGGTTCAAGTGTTGTTTTATTAGGAATAATTATTAATTTTGCCMACATGGAAGAAGAAGGACGATACGATACCTTGGGTAATTTTTTTTTTAAAGCAATAGAAACATGCCCCTCCACCAAAGACAGATCCCAATGTTGAAATTGAATGCACTAACATCAATAACGCTAGTTGTTCATCCTTCATATCACANTACTGTACCAAGATAGGAATTTCTGGTTGGGAGGCGATTGGATTGCATTGTCGCAATTTGGAGAAACTTGATGTGAGCGGATGTGAGAACCTTTGCGATGCGGGATTACTAGCTTTGGGAAACGGCTGCGAACGCCTTTCGTTGATATACATAAGCCATTGCTGGAAAATCACTCCAGAGGGGATCGAGGTTTTTAAGGATGCGAAAGAAGGTGTGGAGATCAAAGAGGAAGCAGCAATGCATGTTGCCCCCATTTAGGCCTTCAGAACATGACGTACTCCAAGAGGAAAGAAAAGCCTGATCAAAGGTATATGAAGACCTATTTGGTATGTACTCTATGTCCCTTTGAAAACCTGTGTTGTTGTGCTTTGGTTCTTGTTTTTAAGTAGACTTGTGTTGTGGTTTCTTGTTTTCAAGTAGGGTGTAAGTTGACTTGTGTTGTGCTTTCTGGTTTTCCAGTAGGGTGTAAGTTGACTTGTGAAATGTGATGTGGCTTATATTGCAAGCAAATTGAACTTCCATTTGCAGTTTCCTGGTTTTATACGTACCTTCAGTTAGTTTTTTGGTTCAAGTATTGTTTTATTAGGAATAATTATTAATTGTGCCAACAAACATGATGCCCCTCCACCAAAGACAGATCCCAGTTGAAATTGAATGAATTAACATCAATAATACTAGTTGTTCATCCTTCATATCACAAAACAAAGCCAATGTGAGTACAAGGTTAGCTAATTGAGGGGTTGTTCCGTTACGACTTAAGGGATAATGCGTCTAATGATTTGTATGACTTATTTGGTAAATTAAAAAAGTAAAATTGAGTTTATAGGATGCCTAAAATATTTAAGTGTTATAAGAAAGTGACTTAAGTTTATAGGACCAAAAAATAAAGTGTCATATCTAAAAGTGTTATAATAAGTTTATAAAACATTTTTGGGCGTCGTAACAAGTGTCTTGGGATATGTTTAGCTATTTTTTATAAATATATAATATTTATATACGGTAAAATAGAACAAATAAACCCACACGTCCTTCTCACCTTTTGTGAGAATTGAACCTTTGACCTCATACGAGAGGCCAAAAACACAATTTGAAAAAGTGTCGTATAAACACAATTGTCCCGTAAATATAAGGGTTTTATAGGACATTTTTAAATAAATGTTTTTTGAAATAGTTAATACAACACTTTATGATTACGACACCCAAAAGTTTTCTATAAACTTATTATAACACTTTTAAATAGAAAACTTTATTATTCGGTCCTATAAATTTAATTCATATAAAACACTCTATTAAACTTTAAAAATGCTATAAATATCTTAAAAGTCAGTTTTATTGTAAGAATTTTATTGATGGTCAAACTTTTGAGTCACCATTTATACTTTGCAAAACCTTAACCATGTTTTTGTTTGTTTTTGATTTCTCTAAACAGATTTTCAATTCAATTCTCAACTCAAGTTTTTTTCTCCCAAAAACTAAGTTACACCATAATTTTATGTTTGTATTTCTCACACACTACAATAAAATTGGTTCATGGGACAATTAAAATATCTAAACATTCTAATAGAATACTTTATAGGACTTAAGTTTATAGGATCACGCCAAAAGACGTAATATCTAAAAGTGTTACTATAGGTTATAGCACCCTTTTACGTTTCAACAAGTTCTTTGAGACATTTTTAAAATAAGTTGTTGTATTACCTATTTTATTCGACATTATTTGAAACAGTGTCATATAAACACAAGTGTCCTATAAGAATATGAGATTATTACATAATTTTCAAAAATTGGATTTGGTGGGGTACGTGGCCTCAAGTGAAAAGAAAAAGGTTAGAACCAACCTCAAGGCTTATCGGCCAACATGAAGTTATGGATTGTCGTAGTTCACACAGTGGAATTCGAGGCTTTGATGACAAAAAAAAAAAAAAAAAAAAAAAATTGCAGAGAACTAAAATAGTTGTTTCATTTTAACTACGTTGCATTTTGAGAGTAGCTAAAAGTGGCAGGACTAGCAGCACCTCTCTGGTTGTTTCCTATCACCATCCCCTGCCTTGAGGTTGTGATCAGAAGGAAAACATTTTCAACATCAATTAGAACAAACATGAATAAAGTCATAATGAACGACGATATGGATACAACAAAACATATTTTTGTTAATAAACAACACCTACCTCTGTTGCTGCCAGTCCTACCTCCATGCCTTTAGCAACTCTGATAACACCATTTTTGGCGTTATTTTTATACCACATTTTGTGTAGTTTAACTCGTTTTCCAAGCAAAAGGAGCGTTTTTCTACAAGTGTAATGCAAGTTTGTATAGGAATTGACCTATCAAGATAGATAGAAGATATCTGATATTTTGAGCTTAATTTCAAGATTTTGTAGTCTTATAGAATATAGAATTCAAAGAGGATTCCAACGGTACTTTCCTCTGAAAGAGTTAGATTTGAAGATCTTCCTCTGAAAGAGTTATAACTTATACGGGGTTATTCTATATATATATCCCCTTCTTCATTTTAGCTCCAATTTGGCTCCGGAAAGTACCGTTGGAATCCTCTTTGAATTCTATATTCAATAAGACTACAAAATCTTGAAATTAAGCTCAAAATATCAGATTTCTTCTATCTATCTTGATAGGTCGATTCCTATACAAACTTGCACTAAACTTTTAGAAAAACGCTCCGTTTGCTTGAAAACCAGTTAAACTACACGAAACGTGGTACAAAAATAACGCCAAAAATGGTATTATCAGAGTTGCTAAAGGCATGGGGGTAGGACTGGTAGCAACAGAGGTAGGTGTTGTTTATTAACAAATATATGTTTTGTTGTATCCATATCGTCGTTCATTATGACTTTATTCATGTTTGTTCTAATTGATGTTGAAAATGTTTTCTTTCTGATCATAACCTCAAGGCAGGGGATGGTGATAGGAAACAACGAGTGAGGTGCTGCCACTTTTAGCTACCCTCAAAATGCAATGTAGTTAAAATGAAACAACTATCTTAGTTCTTTGCAACTTCTTTTTTCTTGTCATCAAAGCCTCGAATTCCACTGTGTGAACTACGACAATCCATAACTTCATGTTGGCCGGTAAGCCTTAAGGTTGGCTCTAACCTTTTTCTTTTCACTTTTGGCCACGTGCCCCACCAAATCCAATTTTTGAAAATTATGTAATAATCTCATATTCTTATAGGATACTTGTGTTTTATATGACATTTTTTCAAATAATGTCGAATAAAATAGGTAATTACAACAACTTATTTTAAAAATGTCCCAAAGAACTTGTTGAAACGTAAAAGGGTACTATAACCTATAATAACACTTTTAGATATTACGTTTTTTGACGTAATCCTATAAACTTAAGTCCTATAAAGTATTCTATTAAAACGTTTAGATATTCTAATTGTCTTATGAACCAATTTTATTGTAGTGTGTGAGATATTTTAATTCTGAAAAATGGTGTTAACTAGTTTTTGAGAGTGTTCTATATGAATTAAATTTATAGGACCGAATAATAAAGTTTTCTATTTAAAAGTGTTATAACAAGTTTATAGAAAACTTTTGGGTGTCGTAATCATAAAGTGTTGTATTAATATTTCATAGAACATTTATTTAAAATGTCCTATAAACTCTTATTTTTACGGGACAATTGTGTTTATATGCCACTTTTTTAAATGGTGTGTCTTTGGCCTCGTATGAGGTCAGGGCTTCATTTCTCACCAAATGTGAGAAAGATGTGCGAGCTTATTTATTTTATTTTACCGTATATAAATATTATATATTTATAAAAAATAGCTAAACATATCATAAGACACTTGTTACGACGTTCAAAAACATTTTATAAACTTATTATAACACTTTTAGATATGACACTTTATTTTTTGGACCCATAAACTTAAGTCTTATAATAAGACACTCTGTTATGACACTTAAATATTTTAGGCATCCTATAAACTCAATTTTATTGTAGAGTGTTATAATAAAAGATGTTTTTATGACGCTCTATAAACAAAATTAAAAAGAATTTGTACCTTTTCAATTTTTTATTACTCGTTAATTATAAGTTTCTCTAGTCTTTCCAAAACCTCTTCATAAATTGGAAGTTCATATAAACTATTTTTTTACTCCTTAAAGGTAGAGGAAAAATCTACGTACACTTTCTAGTGAGAAATACTAAGTTTATTTTGTTTTTGGTTTTCTATTACAATATATATATATATATATATATATATATAAAGAAAGAGTTTGTTTCAAATACAACCTATTGCATTTGTACAACCAATGCAACTTAATAAATTGAGATATTTATGAAAATGATGAGAGTTCATTTATTATGATTTGAATATTTATGGAAGATGAATATGTTTTATTAATTATGATCAATACTTTATATTATGAAACAATCAAAAAATCTATGAAATCACATATTAATCAAATGAAATGGACGATTGAGATTGGGTTGTATTGGTTGCACAAATGTCATGAGTTGTATAATAACCAACCATATATATATATAGAGGTTGGTTCAAATAGAAACCAACCATATGGTACAAACTATGGAAACCGATCTTGACCAATCACATTCTTTCTTCACTTTAGGTTCAAATCTAAATTATAAATTAATGATAAGGGTAATTTGGTAATTCAACCTTTTTATAACCCCCAATAATTAATTGGGAGTTACAAATCTTAAAAGATACATCTAATTGTTCATGAGATTTTTATGATTTCATGTTCATGGTATTCATTTCAATTGATTTTATACATATATTGAAATTGGTTGTCTAAGTGTATAAGATTTTCGTTTCGTTCAAGATACATGGTATTGTAAAAGAATGTCAGAATAATGAAGACGATAAACGCTTGCAGTCTATGTTCATATCTGCACACATGCAATGATCTTTGATTTTGAAAATGTTCATATATGTGCATCTCTTGCAGTCTATGTTCATATATGTTCACCATATGAACAACTTGTTTTCATTGAAAGACACAATCGTTGTTCACACGAACCCGTGACGATGTCATAC